GGGTAGGAAAGTCCATGAAACTCTTATCTCCAATTAACCACCAAAAAGCTGGAAGTGGAGCTGTGGCTTCAATGATAGAGTAGTAGCCTTGAGAGAAAAAAAAAAAAAGCTCAGGAACAGTATCCAAGTCCAGAGTTCAAGTCCCAGGACCAGCACATAAACACACACACACACACACACACACACACACACTATACAGCAAAAGAAATTATTAAGAGAATGTACAGAGTGAAAGAAAATCTATACCACCTATTCATCTGACAAAGAATTAATATCCAGAATATATGAAGAGTTCAAAAATCAAACACCAAATGATCAAATTAATAAATGGGCAAATGAACTGCACAGACAGTTCTCAAAAGAGTATGTTCAACACCTTTAGCCATAAAGAAATGCAAACAAGCCAGGCATCAGTGGCTCTCACCTGTAATCCTAGCTACTCAGGAGGCTGAGATCTGAGGATCGTGGTTCTAAGCCAGCCCAGGCAGGAAACTCCATGAGACTCTTATCTCCAAAACACCACTCAGAAAACCAGAAGTGGCACAGTGGCTCAAGTGGTGAAATGTTCATCTTGAGCTGAAGAAGTGAGGGATAGCGCCTGGGCTGAGTTCAAGTCCCATGACTGACAAAAAAAAAGCAAAAGAAAGAATGAAAGAAATGCAAATAAAAATTGTATTGAGATTCCATTTCACCCCAGTCGAAATGGAACCTAAGTCAGCATACAGTAGAGATACCTGCACAACCATGTTTATTGTTTATTGTAGCACTACTCACAAGACCCCAGCACAGGGAGAGGGAGAGAGAAGGGGGAAGGGAGAGGAAGAGAGAGAGAGGGAGAGGGGATGGTAGAGGAGGAGAGGGAGAGGCAGAGAGAGAGAGGGAGATGGGGAAGGAACTAAGCTTGGGTCAGAGTGCCAGCTTGGCTCAGGATTGCTATGTGGTGCCTGTGAGCCCTGCCAGGCCAGGAATGGATTTGAGCCTCAGACTTTCTAATGTCTCCCACACAGGTACAATCTGGCCTGGCCAGTTCTGAAGACCAGGCACCACCTACTCCTTCAAATCTGTATGGTAGAGAATGTGGGAATGGTGGCCTGGATCTCTTTCAGAAGACTAAAAAGGAATGAGCACAAAATCTAAAGAAAACTGGAGGAATCTGGTACTTAGAAGTCTAGAAAAGTGTTTCAGCCCAGTGCCAGCAGCTCACCCCTGCAATCTTAGCTACTCAGGAGGCTGAGATCTGAGGATCATGGTTCGAAGACAGCCCAGGCAGGAAAGTCTATGAGACTCTAATTTCCAATGAACTACCTTAAAAGCCAGAAGTGGAGCTGTGGCTGTGGGAGAGTGCCTAGCCTAGAGCAAAAGATGCACAAGGTCAGCACCCAGGCTTTGAGCTCAAGTCTCAGGACCAGAAAAAGAAATCCTTTGAACCAGGTGGTCCCTATGTCATATACTTGCTCAGAATTAATAAGAGGAAAATTAAGGTGCTTCCTTTGGGATTGGCAATATCAGGGATAGCTGGAAACTTTGTTTTTCATTGGTATGGGGGGGGGTGAGTTTGAACTCAGGGCTTTGTACCTACTTGGCTTGCTTTGCTGTGCAAGTGCCCTACTACTTAAGCTACTCCTCCAGCCCCTTTATTTTGGCAATTGGAGTCTCGTGGACTTTTCTGCCTGACTGACTTTAAACTGTGATCCTTTGGATCTCAATGTCCTGTGTAGCCAGGATTACAGAAGTGAAGCACTGGGCACCCCAGCTGATAGTTAGTGGGTGATCTTTACTGAGGAAGTTTAAATGGTCAAATCCAAACGGAGTTAAAACAAATAAGAATTTTTTAATAGCTAAAGAAGTTTTTTCTTTGGAGATTTTCAAAGACATGGGTTATTTTCCAGTAGGGAATGTGGGATTAAGGAACAATTGAAGAGGAGAGGGACTGGAGCATTTTGTATGATGGAAATGATCTGGTGGGGAGAGGATAATGAGGAGAATAACCACAGAGGAGTTCTTAGGGACAGGAGATGAAATGTACAATGTCAAGGAGTTGACTTCTGGAGAAATCAGGAAGACAAGGCTAGGGACAAGAGAGTATAGACAGTAGAGAGGAGATAGAACATTTCCAATGGCATCTATTTTCTTGTAAGTTGAGGCAAGGAGGGAGATAGTGACAGAATATTGGAGAAATCTGGAGCTAGTTATTTCAGGAAGTGAAAACAATCAAGCATTTAAAGATTAAATAGACTAGAGGCCTGTGGCTCACACCTGTAATCCTAGCTACTCAGGAGGCTGAGATCTGAGGGCCACAGTTCAAAGCCAGGCTGGGCAGGAAAGTCCATAAGACTCATCTCCAATTAACCACAAGAAAACTGAAAGTAGCCATGGCTCAAAGTGGTAGAGTGCTAGCCTTGAGCAAAAGAGCTCATGGATAGTGCCCAGGACCTGAATTCAGGCTCCATGACAGAGAGAGAGAGAAAGAGAGAGGGAGGGAGAGAGAGAGAGAGAGAGATTGAGAGAGATTGAGGAGAGAGGGGGGATAGGAAATTATTTTGACAGCGTTAAGTCATATTTGAGATGAGACCCTGAATTTCCAGTGAAGTTAGTGAGGTCTGTTGGCTCATTTTCTACAAAAAGAATCAGCTGTTACATGTGGTCAGATGGAGAGGGTCAGTTGATGGTTGCATTCTACCATGGTTAGGAATTTGAGATGGGTGGTGTTTAAAGTGAACTGGGCATGAAGAATGTCTGTCACAGAAATACTCCATGATATCCAAACTGAAAAGGGCAGGTCAGGAAATAAAGTCAGTGAAAAAATGTGGAAGGAATTGTTTTCTTTTCATTTTAAGAGTGGTTATCTCGGGGCTGGGAAGGTGGCTCAGTGGTAGAGTGCTTGCCTTGCATGCATGAGGCCCTGGGTTTGATTCCTCAATACCATATAAGAAAAAAGAAAAAAGCCAGAAGTGGCACTGTGGCTCAAGTGGTAGAGCGCTAGCCTTGAGCTGAAGAGCTGAGGGACAGCGCCCAGGCCCAGAGTTCAGGCTCCATAACCAGACCCAAAAAATAAAAATAAAAAATAAGAGTGGTTATCTCTGGGAAGTAAGCATTATTTTACCAGCAGAGACTTTTTTTTTGCCAGTCCTGGAGCTTGAACTCTGGGCCTGGGCACTCAAGGCTAGCACTCTACCACTTGAGCCACAGCACCACTTCTGGCTTTTTCTGTTTATGTGGTACTGAGGAATCAAACCCAGGGCTTCATGCATGCTAGGCAAGCACTCTACCACTAAGCCACATTCCCAGCCCCAAACTTTTTTTTTGCTAGTCTTAGGGCTTGAACTTAGGACATGGGCACTGTCCCTGAGCTTCTTTTGCTCAAGGCTAACACTCTACCACTTGAGCCACAATGCCACTTCTGGCTTTTTCTGTTTATGTAGTACTGAGAAATCAAACCCCACAGCTTCATATATGCTACCATTAAGCCAAATTCCCAGCCCTGCAGCACCAATATAAAAGGAGAAAATTAAGAAGTGAGTTTAACCTAGATTCAACTCCTATCAGTCAAATCCCAAATGTGTAATTGACTCGGTTCTGGGCACTTTCCTGTAATTTCCATGACTCCATTTGTGTAGGCTAGATTCTTATTGAGAGATGAGCAAGTAGAACAGAGAGTGTTACCTGGGTCATGTAGCTGACCCTTGTGTGATCAAGGGTTTGAACCTAGACCTCTGATCTTGAACTCAGTGTTCTTCCTTGATGATGATAATGATGTATGTGATTCTCAGATCCTGAGTCTGGAGTTTTTCATCAAGGAGGTCAGGTCAGGGAGATTGAGCCAAATCACCAGGCAGACTTCAGGTATAAGACGCCCTTATGAAAAGGCAGAATGGGTGAAAGTGACTCTAAATGACACTTTCTGACCCAGAATAACAAATGAAGCTCTTTCTGGCTAGTCTGACAAGTTTTAAATGTTGGAGTTATTACTTAAGACCATGACCAAAATCTTGGGACTGAAAGTGGGGGGAAAATCCCAGTTGTGGATTCGTTCTGAGAAAGAACTATTACAGTTTGATGTACTATGAGCCCCAATCAGAAGGAAAAGAAAAAGATGGAGCAAGGATTCATACAGAGCCTGATCGATCTCTCTCCAACAAGACAAAGCAGTAGAATAATCCCGGGATCCCTAATAGGACAGGAACTGCACATATGACCAAGAGGTCCTTGAAGCTTTGTTGTGAAAGTAGAGAAAAGCGGAGGGCTAAGAATTAATTCTTGTGTTTGTCACAGATTCTTGCCCAACTTTTTTTTTGTCAGTCATGGGGCTTGAACTCTGGGCCTGAGTGCTGTCCCTCAGCAATTCAGCTCAAGGCTAGTGCTCTACCACTTGAGCCACAGCACCACTTCCAGTTTTCTGGTGGTTTATTGGAGATAAGAGTCTCACAGACTTTGCTGCCTGGGCTGGCTTTAAACCATGATCTTCAGATCTCAGCCTCCTGAGTAGCTAGGATTACAGGTCTGAGCCACTGGCGCCCAGCTTTTGCTCATCTTTTTGACTCCCCTAAAATATCCTGAGACTGGAAACCATGCCTTCCCTCAGGCTTCCCTCTCTAGAATGTAAAGAAGAACTGTCCAATAAAATAGCCACTAAGCACCAGGCACTAGTGGCTCACACCTGTAATCCCAGCTATTCAAACGAATATCCCATCCTATTCAAATGAATAGAATACACATTTCTTATTTATTATTCCCTTGGACCAATGAGGGACCAGCCAGATAGCTATACAAGGAGGTTATTACCACTTCCTAGTCCATCCTGTGCTCTATTACACACACACACACACACACACACACGTGTGTGTATTCCATCTTTATTTACCTTTTTTTAAAGTACAATTAGGTAGAATCATCAGACAGGAAAACCCGGGGATGGTGTAATAGGACTGAGGAATCCTGTGATATGGTGGAGACTCAGACTTGGAAGAGAGATGCCAAGTTGTAGACATTTGTCTTCTATTTCAGTTTTCCTTATGCAGCTGTGCAGGAACATACTTGGGGTTCACACAGCACTTATTCCCATCTTGGCATAATATATAGAATACGTCTGTCTCTTTACATGTTTGTCTGCACTTGCCTGATGAACCCCAGCACTGTGTGCCTGAAAATAAAAGGGAAGAATGGATAAACATTAGTCCTGAAAGCAAAAGCAAAGGGCTGGGGAAGGGAAAGGCCGAGTCCCAGTAGAGAAGAGAACAGTAAGGTGGAGAGAAATCCCTATCAAGTATCCCTGGGTTTAAGGGAAATTATAGACCATTAAGCTTTCTTTATCCACTGGTGGGACCAGTTCCATCTCCCACCAGGAAATTTCTCCTCCTTGGACAGTGAGTTTGAGCAAAGCAAGAGGGCCCTGCCTCTGTCCAGGGGTCCAGCTCTCCATATTATAGGGTACCTAGTTACCCATTATCAACTAGTCACATTTGCTCTTTGGTACCCACACTGGCTGTGTTGGTGAAAGGGAACAAGACTCTGAAATAAACCCATGTAAATATCTGTCAGTTCTCTGGGGCCTGTGTAAACCTCCCATGAATGTCACCCACTCCTCCTCCACAGCATCCTGGGACTGTTCACTGGCCTGAATCCATCAATGAAATCAGAAACATCTTTCCTGAGGAGGTGACCACCTAAAGCAACCAAGTGTTTGGGGATTACATGGAGGAAAAAAGTAAAATCAGAATCTTCTGTTAGAATTCTGGAGACTATTTTCATGGTGGCAACAAACAGACTAAAAGTCAAATCCTCCAAAGGGATTATTTTTTAAATCACCATATTCTGTACACTCCACATCCAACTCTCTTCATATCCCATCCTTCCATGTTCAGAGAGAGATGGGCAGAAGAGTCAAGTGATGGGCACGGGGAAGATCCATTGCTATAGAATTAAAACTTCCCTTGAGTAGCAACCATCCCAAGGTCTCCATGCACTTCTGCCTGCCACACTATTCTCCCAGCCTCCATGGTCCTCGTCCAAAGTTCCCTGAACAGGTGTTAGTTTCCCTGACCCATACCCTTTTGGGAAAGATCCTGGTTACCTTCATTGGCCTGGGCCAGGAGCAAGGTAACAGTCAAAACCAGGAGAAGTTGCTGCATAAGTGATGAGAGCTCAAAGAAGAATAGGAGGCTTCTGCACTAGCAGTGCAGTCCAAGGCCTCCATTCCGGACTGTCTAGACAGGTATTTAAGGCCTCAAGGAACATGGCTGTTGTGATCAGTGAACCATAAAGAGAACAGTCATTTGAGATAAGGCAGGCAGACAAGTCATCAACCACATTTATTGTGGAGTGCTGGATGAAGGGAAGGGAGGAGAACATTTCCTGTTCTTGTGAAAAAGAGAGAAATCAAGTAAGATAGGAGTGATAATTCTGTGTGTCTTGGGTTGTTTCCAGCAATATGAACATCATAAGATGTCCCATAGGTTGGTGGGTAATAGTAAGGATAAAAAAAAGAAGAGCAAAAGCAGAGGGAAATACCTCGATAACTTTGTGACCACCAGGGAAGCATTATAGAGTGAAGGAACAGGAAAATCACAACTCTCACTTTCTTTAAAATATAATTTTATGGTTATTATTAGGGTCACTTTTGTGTGTACCAGCCCTGGGGCTTGAACTCCCGGGGCCTAGGTGCTGTCCTTGAGCGTTTTTTTGCTCAAAGCTAATGCTCTTATTGCCTGAGCCTTTAGTCCACTTCCAACTTTTGGTTGGTTAATTGGAGATGAGTCTCATGGACTTTTCTGCCCAGAGTGGCTTTGTCTACAGAGCTCAGCCTCCTGAGTAGCTCAAATTACCGATGTGAGCCACTGATGACGGGCAGAATTCTTTTTTTTAATAGTGTGTTTAGCATCTTCACTATGTCAAACATATATTACAATGGTGTTCTTTCTTTTCAGGTATAATGGATTGTATTATAGACTCCTATTCTTTGCCTCTGCTTGAATCCATACATTTATTTGCTAAGCTACCATCTCAGGGCAAATGTATTTTGCTTTCCCTTCTCTTGGGTCTTAACAGGTGACTTGTTTTGACAGAAGTAGAAAAGCTGAAGTTGACAGTGGGTGGGAAGCTAAGATTTAAGAGGTAATAAATATTCTCAGTTTTCCTTTCCTACCATTACCATGAAAAGAACATTCAGTTTTCCAAGGAGGGTAAAAAGACACATGGAACAGAGTCATCTCAGAGGACTGAAATCAACAGTGAAAAACAGGGTACTCCTGCCTGCTGACACACAAGTGGTAATACTGTGTACACCATCATAGATTGCTGGCCTAGGCTGCTGAGCTCGAGGGGGGGCGGGATGATAGTGATGGCTGATGGATACAATTGGCAGATCAATTAGAAATGAGACAAATGCTTTTGAGCACAGTAGTGGCCAGGTCTCCTGTTCACAAAGGCATCCTCACAAGAGAAGTGTCATCTTTCTAACATGAAATAAGACTGTGGTCTCCAAGAACAATGAAGGCAGCCAACCAGCGGTCATCAGATTTTTCTCTGCTGACCTCAAACATTTGCTGACGACTGAGTTAGGGAATATTTGGGAAACACATAGCGTAGTACTCATTAACAAGGCTTGCTCTGGGTTTTCACATTTCTGGCTCCTTGGGAACATTGGCATGCTGACTCCTTCTTCCTTGGAGCTGTCCTGGCTCTTCTTCATTGTCAGCATACCCAAGGGACCTCAGGATGACCCCAGAGACTGCTCTGCTCACTTCTCTGCTTCTCCAGTGACTTAGACTTTGAGAATTTAAGACCTGGAGGGCTGAGTCAGCATCCAGATTGGAGGCCAGCTTCTCTCCTTTTGTGTCTGCAATGAGTCCTTTGTAACTGTTTCTGTTTGGGCTTGATTGAAAGATGGTTAAAAAAAAAAAAAAAGAGGAAGACTTTGTATCAGAACATGTTTCTTTTTCCCAGCCCTTCTGTCTTCCCGGGCCCCTTATCCCTGCCTTGCCAGCATCTGCTCTTTGTTTTGTCTTTGTTCCCAGGTGCTGACCACTTCTCTCCCCAGATCAGGTTAAACTCACTCCTCCTACAGTGAGTTTCTTCGGCTCCCCTCCACCCCATCCCAAACTATCCAGGCCACTCATAATTCCTGTGCACCAAGAATGGAGGAGGTAATGCGGTAATGATGGAGCTAGAGGGGTCCTGTCCTTAGAAATTTGCAGTTTTTAAAATAAGCCTTGCTTTAGTCACCTATAGTTTATTTTCCACTTGTGTGTGTATACAAACAAATCAGGTTCAAAAGGTCCTGTTGAAGGCAGTTTATTGATATAGACAATAGACTTGATGCTACTTTCATCTAGCAGTGCAAATGAATCCTAACGAAACACATCTGCATGGTACTTTATAATTTACAAAGGGCTTTATTTGCCCAAAGTTTTCACATTCTTTAAAAATAAAAGCTATTGGAAAGTTAAAAATAAATAAAATAAAAATAAGCTTTGTATGCTTCCAAAAACACAAGCTTTTTCTCTGGGCTTCAAATCCCAATCCTTCTGATCTCTGTCACCCAATTAGCTGAGATTACAGGTGTGAGCCATTGTGCCTGGCCTCAACGATTTATTTCCTACTCTTGTTACATATCTATGACAGGGGAATAGAGACGCTGGTCTGTGTCTTCTCACTATCAAACCCTGACTGGTTAAACAGTTACTCAAAGAGCACCATAGAATAAGGAACAATTGCTCTGGAAAGACAGCTCATATCCCAACAGCAACAATAGTGATATGACCCCATGCCACCAGAAGAGGGCCAGAAACGCAAATGGCATGGGTATTCCGTTTTGACATGTCTTTTATAGGAGACAAATCCTTCCAAATCACAGCAGTGACTGGTCAGTTAGCAATGTCATACTACTTACACATTTGCAATTTGCTAAGAGAGTAGATTTATGTTCTCATCACAATGGCAAAAATCATAGTAAATATGAGAAGTGATGCATGTGTTGATTAACTCAATTGCAGTAATCAGTTCACCATGTATATGCATATCAAATCAACATGTATATCTTAAATACATCTAATTTTATTTGTCAGTTTTACCTCAATAAAGCAATGAGGCTATTTTAATGAATAGATGAGGTAAAAAATACAAAGTCCCTAACATGTAACGGATCCAGCGACCTCTCTGTATACAGCTACCTCTCAATATCCATACAGGGTTTATTCCAGAACCTTCACAGATTCCACTATCTTCCAGTGCTCAAATTCCTACACAAAATGCCAAAGTGAGTCCAGTACACTGGCTCAGCCTGAAATCCCAGCCACAGTCTCTGCTCCAGAGGATTTCAGTGTGAAGTCAAACCAAGTAGAGTATTCCTCAAGACTCCATCTCCAAAACAGCCAGCTAAAACCAGGCTGGAGACCACATGGCTAAAGCTAGAGTGCCGACTGATCAAGGACAAGGCCCTGAGCCCAATCCCAGTACAAGAAACCAAGGAAGGAAGGAAGGAAGGAAAGAAGGAAGGGAGGGAGCGGGGGAGGGAAAGGAAAGGAAAGGAGAAAGGGAAAGGAAGGAAGGAAGAAATAAAAGGGAAGGAAGGGAGAGTGAGAGAGAATAAGAGAGCAGCAAGGGGAGAGAGGGAGGAGGAAATGGCCAACCATTTGCATATGACAGGCACACGCAGTCAGCTCTCCTTATCAAGGTGTTCCACTCTCAAAAATTCAACCAACTACTGGGCACCGGTGGCTCAAGCTTATAATCCTAGCTACTCAAGAAGCTGAGATCTGAGTGAGGATGGTGGTTCAAAGCCAGCTCGGGTAGGAAAGTCCATGAGACTCTGATCTCCAAGTAACCACCAGAAAACCGGAAGTGGCTCTGTGGCTCAAGTAGTGTGCTAGCCTTGAGCTGAAGAGCTCAGGGACAGCACCTAAACCCAGAATACAAGCCCTACAACTGGCCAAAAAAAAAAAAAAAATCAACCAACTATGAATAAAAACACTCAGAAAAGCTTTTCATCTGTACCAGACATAGACATATACAGAATCCTTGCTGTATTCCCTAAATAATTATTTGTAGTGCACTGACAACATGTTAGAGATAGTAAGTAACACAGGAAAGATTTAAAGTATATGAAAGGCTTTGGTTGGCATTTCCCTATTGGCTAATGATAGTGAACATTTTTCCTTAGATTGTTGGCCATTTATTCTTTTTCTTGTACTTCTTTTGAGAAGTGTCTGTCCAATTCATTTGCTCATTTATTAACTGGATTACCTGGTTATTTAGTGGGTTTTTTCTTAGTTCTTTGTATATTCCAGATATTAATTCTCTGTCAGATGAACAAAGAACAAAGACTTTCTCCTATTCTATAGTAAGAATTTCTATCATGAAGAAAATAAAACTAACAAAAGCTGGTGAAGATTTGGGAATGAGGGCAAAGGAACCCTTATATACTGTTTGGAAGGTAAATTCATGTAACCACTATGAAAATCAGTGCAGAGTTCCTCAAAAAAATAAATAAATAAAAATAGAATGACCATGTGATCTAGCTATTCTCATTCCTCGATATATACCCAAAAGAATCAAAGTCAACATACATTAGGGATACCTGCCTGGCCATGTCTTATTATAGTACCATTCACTGTAGTCCAGGAGTAGAAACAGCCCAGATGCCCTATAATGGATGAATAGATATAGAAAAAGTGTACATATACAATGGAGTATTATTCAGCCATAAAGAATAATCAAATCATTTGATTTGCAGGAAAGTGGATGGAACTAGAAACCATCATGTTCAGTGAAATAAGCTAGACTTTGAAAGACAAGTACCCCACTCTTCTATCACATAGGGAACCTAGAGGGAAAAATAAAGACGTCACACACATAGAAGAGGGACTGGACTATTAGGAAAGAGGAAAGGAATTAGCGGAAAGGGGTAAGAAGAGGTAAAGAGGGTGGCTATGATCAAAGTATATTACACACAAGTATGAAAATGTCACCAGGCGCTGGTGGCTCACGCCTGTAATCCTAGCTACTCAGGAGGCTGAGATCTGAGGATCGCGGTTCAAAGCCAGCCCGGGCAGGAAAGACCATGAGACTCCTATCTCCAATAAACCACCAGAAAACTGGAAGTGGCGCTGTAGCTCAAGTGGTAGAGCGCTCG